GAAATCCCAGTGGTTCGGGCTAAATTCACTACTACTTGATGCACTTGCTGTATTTAACAAATTTTATAATACTCATAACCATAGTTGTGTGCACAAGGCAAGCCAACCAACTAGACTATCTCATCAAAGAGTATAAAAGTTGTGTAGAAACATTCATACAACATTTTATATAAATAATTCATTCAGTCAATGGCTAACAATTCAAGGCATTTTACACATTTCCTGGGAATTGTTTTTATTTCTTAAATTATTGTTATTGACATGGTAACATGTATATTATATATATTTATAATAAAAATTCTTTGTTTTAAATAAATATAACACTAAACCTTACGTTTTATATAGAATGTACCTACCAAATTATGACACATCTCCAAACTAAAAATCGAGCTAAAAATGTAATTTAAGTTATAGTTAAAATAAAAACTAATCATAATAGAGGGGAGTCAATTTATCAGTTAAATGTGTGTAATTAGAATGTATACTTCTTAGACAGTGTTCATTGGAAGTTAAATAAATAAAGTTTTTTAACAATACAACCATCAACTAATGTATTATTAATATTTCGGATGTTTAGATTTGTATAATATTCATTTGGATTTAACACATAATAGATACTGATCCTAAACCGATTGAGCTGATTGATCGCACTGAACAACAATGCTTGCCGCTCAGTTGTGTTATGCGGTTTTTCAGCGAGAATGTACACAAAACCGAAATCGAACCAGCAGAACCTGTCATTCAACCCAAAACCAGTATTTTACCACCAGCACCCAAACTATTCCATCGACCATTACGAACAGGTAATTTAAAAATCTGACAGTATCTTATCTAAATGAAATTTGTATTTTAACTTTATACTATTTCTTAGGTTATGAATCCGATAAAGGAGAAGCTGAAAACCTCGATCACATTGGGGACAGCAGTGACTCTTGGTCTACTACATCAGATGCAATTGATGATGCTCATAAAAATGGTTCCAAGTAAGACATGACTAAATAACAATCATTAAAGCAATTGATCTGTTGATATTAAAAAGGTTTGTTTTTAGTTCACAACAGAAAGTTAAAACTGAGCAACCAATAAGACCATTTGCTTGCCCAATTCCGGGTTGTACTAAAAGGTATAAAAATGTTAATGGAATAAAGTATCACGTTAAAAATGGGCATACAAACGGCAAGTGAGTTGTGTCAATTATTAACAAATTCTGTTACAGTTTAAAAAAAAAAATTCTTATACAAAATGTAAATTGTTCTAGAGTTCATAAGAAGTACAAATGTCACTGCGGCAAAAGTTACGTGTCTATTCAAGGACTCAAATCGCATGCAAATGGTATGCATGCTGGCACCAAGATGACATGGCTAACAATGCACAACGGTGAAACTATTCAGGTACCTGCCACACCACTTTCGCCAGATACTGTGCCCATGCGTGCAGTCACGTTGAAACACGTGCCACGCACCACTGCGGATGCAAACCTGCCGCCTAAAACATTAGTCATCACTAAACCTCCTCCGTCCAACATTGAACCTCCCATTGTTGAATCATAATAATAATGCAGGGGAAGTTTATGAAAACCGTATTCCTATATAGTAAAAATTACCAGGAGTTCCAAAAGTCAGTCGTCATATTTAATGTCTTGTCGCTTGATTTTTTTTTTTTAATTTGAAGTAATTATTTTAGTTTATTATACTTACACAAACATTGTTTGTTAATAAATAAATAAAAACGAATGTTTGAGTGTGTAATATTCAAAAAATATGTTTAGTACCTACTTTTTTGTGTAGTTGGATGTCTAGGACTAAAGCATTTTTAAAGCTTATGCATTCGTATTTTGTTTTATGTCGAGCTGTGTATAGTGTATGTTACCTTAAAGACTTGATTTCTGTTAAAGGAGTCAAATATTGTTAACAATAAAGTTATATATTTGAAATAAATAAAAAAATTAATAAACTGTTATTTTAAATTTGTATTCTTCTTATAAGTTGTATAATTTTAAAATTCAAAAAAATCGGGTAATGTTTTATCTCTAGTGTGTCTCCTTGTAGGCTGTAAGTTATTTGTGTTTGCACATCAACATTTTAATATTGACGTTGAAAGATTCCATTACTAAATGTTTAATATCTACTGGCATTGCATGGCTCAATGCCAATTTGTAAAATAGTTCTTTCAGTAGGTTGATTGAAATAATTAATTTTATACTCAAATAGTCAAATGTACTTTACAATCAATCAAATATACAAAATATTTTTGTAATTTATTTTTAAAACAAACAGAGCCTCTATTTGCTGCAGTTGCACAATTTTAGTAATTAGTCCAAAACCTTGAACTGTAAATTTAAATAATATTACAAGAAACTACTGAAATATACCTATTATTTCATCACACGTGTTAAAATTAATTTACATATACATTTCCATACCCTGTAAACAAAAATCATTTTTTATCTGAGCTATTTATAGTCACTAAAAATGTCCATATTTTTTTAACTTTTGTAAAATGATTAAATTTGATGCAAGTATGCTTACCTGACATACCGTCTCAGGGAATCTAGGACGTTTCCCTCCCGTGCCTTTTCGCCCCCGAAACAGTGGACGTTTCCTCCCCAAACAGGACAAAATCCCCCGGAAAAAAAGAACAATTTTCCAAATGCTAATACAAAATGCACTAATATGAATATTAAAAATATTAAACAGTATACAAGTACATATTATGAATACTTATAAATATGATATAATTAAATAATACAAGTAAAACAAAATGTAACTTTTATTACTTTTTATTCTGGTTATATAGCTCAAGTCTTCTTTATCTAAGTTATTACGAAAAGCTCCTACTCTATAATTTAAAATGTCTATTGATGCACTTGAGTTACTCATCTATAGAGCTTTAATAAAAACGTGAATGATGATAGTCAAATAGATATGATGATTGTATACTTCGGGTAAAATCAAAGGAACCTATTTTCCAACCTATTATATTTATCAGCTTCATGTGTAAAAGAATATATATATTGATTCAGGTGGGAAATGTCTGAGTTCAGAGGGAAAACGTCCAGTACCGCTAAAACCCTCGGGAGCGGGGAGGGGGGGGCGTCCAAATACACGTCTCAGGTATGTCTCGACAGTCACCAACAGTTGTACAGAAGAGCAATACCTACCCGCTTGTTCATAACACTGTTGTCGAATATTTACTTAATGTTTTTAAGAACGGGAATTCTCAAATTGTATTTATAACCAGCCGGAACAGACTCAAAGGCTGATATTACAAACACTTTCGAGCACTACTTCACCATCAATCATTTCATGTTTCCTGTAAATATATTAGTGGCAACTTTGAAAATAAAATACATTTTAAGTTTCAAAATATGATAGAAAAAACTTTCAAGTAGGTAGCAAATAATAAATTATAATAATGAAAATGCATAAACCCTTTTTTCAAATATAATTTTCTCTTTAAAATCTAACAAATCTAAGCTAAATATTAAGCTTTCTGTTACAGTTTGATGTCACATACAATGTTTACTTGAACATTTTATTTGCGAAGAATTTGATTTATAATATTAAACAATAGTCAACAACTCATTATTTTGATAATTCATTATTGTTTCGTGTTATGGCTAATTAACAGAATTCTTAACATAATTTTTTTCTCAATGTGAGATATTATATTTGAGTATGAAAATACTAATAGAATGATGTTGCATCGATACTGATGCTTACTATTTTTCCATATTGGTAGTACACACCAATTTTTTTTAGAGATCTCTTAACTATTTCGGGCCTTTGGAACTAAAGTCGAAGTTAATCGTTCTGTAATTAATTCCATGGATTGCCATTCTGTATTGGCTTGAACATCAAAGATTTGACATTAAAGCCATACATTTTTCTGAGAACTTTTCGCTCTAACACTGCTAATCTTAGCAGTGGCCTGCTGTCATTGAACTAATAATTAAAATTATCAATGTCAAACTAAACATCAATAAGTGGTGAAAATAATAATACATCATTAAGTAGTAGAACAAGTTTTTATCTATCAGATTTTTTCTGACCTCATTATTTTATTTTAATATGTTGGAAGTTGAGTTAATCCTAAACATGTTATAACCTTTGTATCAATGAAATTCTACAATAATTTTAGAAGTACCCATGATAAGGATAACACTTAATTATTAATTGTATAGCACAAAAGTTATCAATATTTTCCAAATCGCAAATGCCCATTTTTATTTATTTATTCTAATGCTACCTCCTCTAAGAATTAATAATAGAATATAAGTATTTTTTCTTTACATGTCCACTTAAATAAATAAATTATCAACATGTAGTTGAACCAAACAAATAATATTATTTAAAAAAATATTCTTTTATATGAAAAAAAAAAAATGTTCATAATTTTTGAAGATCCCTAGATTGAAAACCCCTGATGTAGCCGAATTTATTATTAAATGCGTTATGAATGATTATTGCTCATGATAAGATTTGATAGAAAATTAGAATATGAGTGTCATAAGACGTATACGCTAACGGACTATACAGCTTTGCATACAGTTCCCAAGGAGGAGTTAGAGTGATAACACTTCAATGTCCATAACACATAGTTTTTTGCTCTTTCAGCTACCTCATCTGCTAGTTTCTCCCTCAAAGCGATGTTCAAAAATGTATAGGTCTATGTATAGCATATGGGTTTTACTGACAAGAAACTTGTACAAACTCACAGTTTCTATCAAGAGTTTAATAATTTGAACAATAAATTTTAATACCAGTTCTATGTGAGTACAAGGGTTATAATAATAAAAAAAATCAATAATAAATGCATAATTTACCACGATCCAAAATTAAAATTATATTTTATTATTTCTAAGATATTGAAAACAAAAAATTATATTTAGATTCAAAAAGTATAACATAAATTAATATAATTATTAATACTACTGTAATTCAAAACTTAATTGTTATCTTATATACTTTCATGGAATTATTTATTATAATTTTTTGCAATGAGATGTTTACAAAATAAGCACACAGATTATAATATGTAAAATAAATACCTATTGCGAGCCTGAGATTAATTTTTCAGCATAATTAGAAGAGGTTAGTGGGTGAAATTTTTTATAAATATTATTTATTTTTCTTTGTCATCATTTTTAATAAAGCTTGTCTCATATCGTTGACCATTTTCTCCAGTTCTTCAGCTTTGATAGTCAATCTTCTGTTGGTGGCTTCCAATTGACTAGCGCTGCCATTTAGCTCATTTTCTCTGGCTTTTCTAGTGGCCCTAGACTTTCGAGATGCTTCGTTATTACGGTCCCTCAGTTGTCTATACTTATCGTCGGATGAATGATAATCTTCATTAGGCTTTCTGTGCTTAGGATAGTCATCATCGTCTGTTTGTATTGAAGCTGATGAATTACTACTACGTCGTTTTCGAGACCACTGTAAGGTTGGTGATACAGTTACATCTTTGGGTGTAGGTACTTCAGCCAAATTGTCAGTTTTTTTTTCCTAGAAAACAACAATTATAAATTAAAACTGTATAAAATTATTTTGTTTTGAAAGTATACACTTACATCAAAGACATAAGCTAAAAGATTAAAAGCAGATTCTTGTTCAGTCAGCGTTTTTACAACTTCTGGTGTGTTTAAAATGTCACCATAACTAGTTGACTGAACTTGTTGTAGCCCAACATCTAATCTGAGGGTGGAATTTTTTCTCATAGATATGGGCTGTTTAAAAGCTGTATCTTCTAGAGGTATAATTAGTTCTATCTCTGGTTTGTTTATCTTTTGAAATTCGTCATCGATTGTGAAAACATTTTGAGGTGTTGAGAATGGCGCCAACAAAGCGGGCGCGTCCATTTGAAACATGTCTAAATACGGCTCGTCTTCTCTGTACATAGTTATGTCATTAGTGCTGTTACTTGAGTTTATAATCCCGGGTGCTTGTCTATCGCATTTGTTTTTTCCTACAGTGAAACACACAAATTAAGTTTAACAACTCGGATCATAAGTTAATGAATAAAAATTGATTATTACCGTTTGCACACATATTTAAAAATTCATCCACTAAGCCCTCCATTCTGGTGGGTGCATCGTACATTTGTGAACTTGAACTGGTCTCCAAGACCGTTTGATGTGTTAATGGCTGGAGCAATTGAGCGTTCACGTTTGGGGTGCCGGTTTTCTCGGCAAGACATGAAGATAACGCAGTTTTGGATGCAGTAGAACATGATGGCTTGGTCTAGATAAAACAATATCATTTAGTGATACATCAAACATAGGTAGAATCTGTGTTTGATAAAATAGTACTTACTTTTGAGTTCGCTTTGGTGCTTACAAAAGTAATGGTGGTTTTGATTCACAACAGCAATACCTCCCTTTTACAGGAGCCAGTAATTCAGGGCTCACCTGTAAAATAAACATTATTTTATTAGTAACATAATTTTAACATTATTAGAATAAAGTATTTTTTAAATTGATAATAACAATAATAATAAACCTTTTGTGTTTGTATAGCATAATTTGCTTATATTACAGACACATTTCAAAACTTATTTCACTAAAAACTGATAGTTTACACTACTATTTTAGGGTCAATATTATAAGTCAGGAATAACCATCAAATTTGATGATTACCTATGTTGTAGTAGGGTTGAGTTTTGATTATAAAACGGAATCATCTAAAAACACAAAACATAGGTTGTACAATTCTCATCGACAGATTTTAGAATGTGGTAATGAACTCTAACATTGACCTTGAGCATATTTATTCTACAAATTATAGATTTTATACGTGGGCGAACATGGCGGAGATAATACATTTATACTATGTAAATCCTCTTTGGTATTCAGATTCTGTTAACATATCATAATTTATTTAAATGCTTAGTAAAGATAAAGCCAATAGATATTTTGCTACACCATTTCCCCGAAAACATTTTTCTACAAGGGTGGTCGGATAGGTATTTTTGAGGGTTTTACAACATGCACGACTGTACTTTCTATTGGTTAGCTGATAAGACAATTCTAAGTCATAAGACTCAAAAGAATTAATTTAAACTAAATGTTATTTTGAGCAAATATAGAAGTAAGTGCATCTGGAAAAAAAATCAAAAGGATCTTGTAAAGAAATAATAGTGTACAGTTGCAAGCAGAGGTCTTAAATTTTAATGCTCTCTTGAGTAATTTAAATGTTTGAATACCTATAGGTTAAAGCAAATGATTTTTTTAGTAGGTATAGTGTCAGCAGAAATCTACAAAATTATGCGATAGTTATTTTATCCTATAGTTCTAGAAGCCACTTAGTAAATACTAAATATTCATAGAACTAGGTAATAGGTATTACATAACCTCGTTTACCTACAAGATAAACTATGCATAATTATAATTTAAATTAATACTAGATGTACTAGGTATATAATTTTTAGAATTCCATTTTGGCCTTGAAAATAATTTCAAGGTTATTTAATGTCAGTTATAGTGTTTAACACGGCGCTTAGATGATTTCAGACTTAACCTATTGTACATCCACCGCACAGAAAACTAGGCAATTACAAAAAAACAACTATTTAATTGGTGTTTGTTTGTCTACCGGTTAGGTCCCACGATAGTCTACAAAAGGTTCGTTACAAAAAAACATGTTTACACGTGTCGATAAAGGTTATGTCTAGCAACTGATGCATAAGGATCGAAGATAACAGTCAACCAGTAGTGTAACACGAGAAAACGTTATGATTAAGGAGTAAACAGAAAAGGTTAGACATTAACCCGTTGCAAAGGTCCTCGAATGATCCAAAATGGGGTACAAAACGTAAAATCTACGAAAACAAAATGATGACAACCATCCAAGTAGTAAATAATAGTACGTCCACGTCGAACAGTGCACAACAAACGTCGTGGACTGACATTATTCGTCGACGAAACGATGAGGGTAAAGAGCAATAACAATTAACAATATAACAGTAAAACAACAACGTGAACTTACCAGATGTGCATGCAAATTGCGACGCAAATCGGTGAACGTTTGACGCGCGGGGAGTGGGAGACTTGCGGAGAATAATAATATATCCTCTGAAAAACGGTACGTCGTTGCGGTACACCACGGGAACTGTGCGAAAATGTTCTCGAAGACCGTTTGCGTTGACGGGCGATCTCTCTCGTTCGGCGTCGGTGTGAAACAAATTGGCGGAGCGGCGAACGTTGGCGGCGTTAGGCGGTTGGCGACAGGCGGTCGGTCGGCTGAATACTGTGCCGTTCCGTAACGGCGAGTCGGCGAGAGAGCGGGAGCAGGAGCGGGAGCGGGTTCGGGCTCCGGCGCATCGTCGACGGCGGCGCGCGGGGGAATTCGCGGGAACGCGGAGAGCGTCCGGAGTCGCGGCACGCCATTGGCCGACGACCGGCAGTGACGTCATTGGCCGCCAACCGCGGTCGCCGACACGGCCGTCGGTCGCGTCGCCCCACCGGCCGGCCACGGGAGATTGTCGCCACTCGCCGGCGGCCGGTGGGGCCGTTTGGGGCAACACGTAATAATTTCGTTCTACCGCCACCCGCCCGCCGCCGACGTGCCGAAAAGTCGAGACGCCGTGCGTGTTCGTCAACGCCTGCCGCCGGCGCGGCGCCCGCCGCCGCCGCCGGACGAGTTACGTGGGTACGGCGTTTCTACGACACATTATTACTATTACTAAAACACAGTACACCTATATGGCCGTAATGTGTACACCTATATGCCTACATATATTATATGTACAAATAATGTGTATCGAGAAACCGAGTATTTGTTTTTTGAAACGTTTCGCGCCGGTTCACTCCAGCGGACGCGAGCTACGTCTTTGGCGTAATATAATACGTATAATATTATTGTAATAGCGTACGACCTCCGAACGGAACCTCATTCGCACGTGAATGGAATTCCAATCAAGGATTCTCAAGGACACCGGACAGGCATTATGTATTTTATAATCATAGTTTTAGGTATCTACCAGTTTTTTTACCACTTGTTACAATAAAAACTTCTTGTCTATAAAAAAAAAAAAAAAATAGCAACCGCCTAGGTATTGAACACTGTTTGTTCGCCATCAGGACGCAGCGCGTTTGGTACACCGTAAATAGCACTATTTTTAGTTTTTACCTGTAAATGTAGAACACATTTGTTGGATGCAAAAACACGCGCCCGAGTACCCGACACATTTGAGTACATAAATATGAAGAACCATTCTTAAAAATAAATAGCATTTCATGGAATGTACGAAACAAAAGAGAAAAGAAGACTTGGATAATATTACATATTGTAATATAACAAATTTGACTAATTTGAGGAATGCAATAACTCTGTATAAAAATGTTGTCAAATATATGTACCTATTCCTAATTTATTTATTTATTTTATTTACCAAAAATATTAAATAATTTAATTATATATTACCGATATAGGTACACTATCATAGGCGGAGACCGGGGGGGGGGAGGGCTTACGGAGGCTTAGCCCCCCAAAATAAATAATTTGAAGTTAAAGTCCCGCTAAAAATATTAAACAAGCAATACCGTTATTTTGTACAGTTTGCAGAATTGTATTCATTATTTTATATTCTTATATCCACAGTTGTATAAGTGTACCTAGTACATTACATACATACTATTTACCAATTTATTATGTACGGTAACATACCGAACAATTAAGTCACAATTCACAATAATATTATATTGTGTTTATATACCTAATATTGTACATATTTTGTACCAATTGGCCATCAATATTGAATAACATATACCGTTCTATTTATAGATGAGAAAAATATTATTTCTTTTCTAATTTTTGTTAATTCTCGAGGAGCGATAGCTATTATACTATAATAGGACTATCGCTATATTTACCTATCGTAAAGCTTATCGGGATTGAATGAATTGTGTTCGTACATTGTAAAGGGTATCGTACATGGTACATTCGTATTCGTACCGTTACCGTGACCGTATTGACCATTTTATACAAAATTATATTTTACTTTTTGTTTGATGTTCTTGGGAATACTTTTCTTTTGAGATTGTGATTTAGATTTTCAATAAATAATTTAGTTCAATTGTGTTTGAAATATTTAAATTTAAATATTTTATTAATTATTCTTTTTTTTATATTTATAATGATACGTTGTTATGATAACGAGTCAACGAGAACAATTTTTTATGACTGATTTAATGTAAAAATTAGTTTGTTGGGGGTGTGAGGGCAACGCCCCCACGGGTCTGTATGCCATCAAATATTTGAGCCCCCTCAATATTTCTCAAGATCTATCTTTATCCGCCTATACTACACCTAACATCAAAAATCAAAATCATAGTAAATCATATGCAAGTACCTATAAACATAACAAATGAAAATAAACAATTATTTTAAACTATGTCAAGTGAAAAAACAAATCTCTTTGTGGTGTCTCCTGGATAACACTAACATGCTCTAAAAATTAATAAAACAAAATTAGTTTGTACTCAACTCTAATATTCCCATATAGTTCATACCTATACGGCTATACCTAGTGGACACTGGCTAAGTTCAAACTGGTAATCTACATTTCTAACTAAAAGTCCAAGAAATAAAGTTGGGTAAAAAATCTAATATCCATTTTTATAACTTATTATTAAGGTTATAAGTACTTATAGGTATACTATTATTTTTTTAAATTTACACAGGCACAAATTAACATTTAAGTTGTATTTTATTTTACAAACCTACTTATATATACAGTAGAACTCCGATTATCCGAACGCCAATCAACCGGACGAAAAAAAGATTGGTTTTCTAATAACTTGCAAATTGTAATTCATTGTAATCGTATTTCGTCGTTCTGTTTTCATTTAAATATTATAATAAAATTATTTGTTTAAAGTTGCAAATTTCAAATTATACACCAACATTTAAATAATAAATACAGACAATATATTCATAGAATTACAATATAACTTTTGATATGGCATATGCCAATCATCTGGATAATCGGAGTTCTACTGTACAAGCTAATAAAAGTAATCGTATGAAAAATTTTCAAAAAAATGATAAAAAATTAAAATATATATGAATATCTTTTATCATCTTAAAATATACATACAGTGTAGTATATTTTTATACATATTGTACAAAATATCTATTATGATTACTACTACATACATTAATTATAACTTATAATAGAAAATAAATGTAAAATATTTGTTCAAGGAGGGAGCCAGGAGGGGGTGTAAAAATACCATACGATTTAAATATGGTTAATTAATTTAATAATATGTATTAAATATATCCTGACTTGGTCAATGACTAATTTTGCTCTATAATTAGACAGCCGTATCCTATAATATGCAGTACCTTAAATTTTAATTAAAAAACCGTCAACACTTAATTCAGTGTTATTATTAATTAATTAATATAATGTTTATAGGCTTATAGTCTTATATTGTTTTCGTTTTTTTTTGTTGCTTTATTTATTGTTTGGCTCATGCCACACGTACATGACGTTACACAGGTACTTGTTGTATCCATCTTCTTACAAGTGCGTAACATACCAAAATTATTTTTGAGAAGTGCGGTAAGATTTTTTAAGAACTGTGACAGTTTTGAACACTATTATTTGATTAACTTTTAAGCTTTGCCAATATATATTTGTTAGTCCCGCTCATAATGCAAATGTAGAGATGTTCAAAGGTTTATGATTTAGCCTTGAACTAAAATGAACTATTGGGTACCTACAACTAATAAAATAAAATTCAAAGTACAATTTTTAATTAATTAAATAATGACAATGACTTAAATTAATATAACGTAGATAGTAGTTACATATTGTAAATATCAAATATTAATATAACTTATAACAAAAATAAATATTATTTGTATTATAATTCATATTATATCTAAATTCAGTGTCAAAAATCCCACTAATATGAGATGGATACGTTATTTTTATTTTTGTGTGTTATGATGTGTTTAAAATTCAATTAAATAATATCAAATTTCTATAAACAATAATATTAATAAAATAAAGTTTTCTATATTTTCTAAATTTAAGACGTATTATTATGTTTTTAATGTCTTCCAATTTTTCAATGAAATAATAATAGTTAATACGACTACATATTAACAACTACGACTAAAAAAAAAATGGTTCTTTTCTACGAAAAGGTTTCCGACCCCTAATCTATAATTTATAATAGATCTATATCTAATATCTATAGTGTATAGGTATATGATAAGTATGTTCATTTTATAGGCGTAAAGATAATTTACAAATGATTAATATATATTATAAAAGTAAAACAAACATCGGATAATTCGAAGCAGCAGATCTTAATATCTCAATATATTATTATCACTTATATATTTATATATTGATTTATGAGTGTAATAACCTAGTTAGAAAAACTATAGCCCACAGCTCACAATAAAGAACTTAGTATTCAAATTTAAGGCCAAAAAAAAATTAGGTATACCTATAGAGATATTTTATCAGGGGCGTACCCAAAGGGGGGGGGGGGGGGGTCAGGACCCTCCTCCCCCCATGGATTGACAAAATTTAATGATATAAACCACTGATTGTATAATAGTTTTACATGTTAAAAAAATTTGGACCCCCCCTTTGAAAAATCCCTGGGTACGCCCCTGTATCTTATTATCTGCCTTTTTATATCCATACGACTATATAAATTTTTATATATAAGTTATAAGTATAGGTAGGTTTATCATATATTCATATTATAATTTAGAATGGGGATCAATTATATATATTATACCTATGAAGTCATTTGCAGTATTTAATTTTTTACTGTAGTTTCAATAAATCAATCCAATTTAGAAACATAGGTACAATTATTCAATATATTTTATGATATAGCAATTAGTATTATATAATATTATGTAATATATTATAATAGGCTCATTTTAATATAATATTATATTCAATACAATTATTAGATATATATTGTTACCTATGTTTTAATGTATTATATTATTATTTATATTTATGACGTAAGTATACTTACCTATACCTACCTTTTTTTTTTAATCTCGAAGTGAATAATTTATTATTGTAATTTTGCTGTGACTTTTGGAATTATTTTACTTAGCCACACAGGCACTGAATGTTGATGATAAAAAATAATAGCTATATAATTATAACTTATAAGATAATAAAATTAAGTTTAATTATGAGTGTGGACTATTATATTATATTGACACAATGACTCTTAAAATACTCGCATATACAAGTAATATTATAATGTAGACATCATTGAATACGATATTAT